TTTTCCAGCAGTGGGCACATATCGAAGCGAAAAGCAGATATCCCCGAGGCTTTTCTCCTGAAATCGAATTTCATGAGGCCGGCACGTCAATGAGCGACCAGCGATTAGAAAAAAGGAGAATGTGGCCGAATATTCATGGCAGAGCAAAGACATCAAAACCTACGGCTTCTTTGTCATCTGGTGGTGGAGCAATATCTTTCCATTCTTCGATAACTTGGCCGAGGTCGATTTTCCCGAGAGGAATGAGAACCTAAACAAGGAAGTTTATAATCATATAACATAAGCACAAGTTTTCTTATAAATTTATGGCTGTAAGGAATTTCTCAACGTAATTCCAGGAAAAACGAGCACAATCGACATAAAACAGATTGACTATGAATCCTTACTTCGTTAAATTCAAGATATCTTAAATCAGTGTTTCTGCTTCACCGATTAGAGGATGGACGAGTTTCTTTGGAAGTTTTGGATAAAAGTTCAAATAACAAACAGATTTATGGATAAAGTTGGAGTCAAAGAAAAACTTTCGCCGCCAATGAACCTTTGCTTGTGGATGCGCCATGCATTTGCTACATTCAAATTGCGAGGTTATTTAGACGCATAAAATAATCCGTGCTTCAAGTTGGAAGCAAAGCCATCTTCCACATATGTTTATTCTACTTAAGAGTTTTGATGTCAACCCATCGATACATAAGAAAAAAGGATTGTGCGTCTAAAAACCGATCCTCGTCCAAGCTGATAGCAGTGCCTCCTTCCACCATACCAAATATAGCATACGAAAAAAGTTAATAGATAATAAACTTACTATCTTTACTAATCTCATTAGTGAATGTCCTATATCTTTCTTTATAAACTAGTCCGTTCAGTAAGAAAGTTTTGTTTTGTTTTTGCTCATTAAAGTAACAAAGTAGAAGTAAATTCTCGTTTTTTAAAATTCCAAAGTCGGCAAATATTTTGCGGCCGAAGTTGCCCAATACCGCGAAACCCCCCAACTTTTGCACCACTCGCATAAATGGAATGCTGGCAACTCTTGGCTCATTGTGAGAAGCAAAAAATCACTTTACCTGCCCAATCTGGTCGTGCTTGCTGAAGCGATCGAAGTCGTAGACTGCAAATACCAATGTTTTCGCTGTTATCTCATTGAAAGCGACCTAAAAACACACGCTGAGCAATTTGTAAACTGAATTCTGATTATGAATTTGAAAATCTGTTTAAACAAAACTAAGCAAAGCAAAATCTCGGAATTAGGAAAATAAGGGGGTTAAGTAATTACGTGTATTCAATGCAAAGAGTTTACCTTGAATATGAAGGTCTCGTTAAATACTGGATTCAAAGTTTTCCTGTGAACCTTTGTTTCGACCTTCTTCTTCTTTTCCGGTAAAAGGTACAACTTGACATA